TTGTAGTGGAAACCTCGCAGAGATATGACAATTAAGTGTAGCTATAAATTAGATGATTACCTAAGATGAGGATTAATTTTGTTGATCATTGTATTTTATTTATTTTGTTGCCGATACGTGAGTTATATTGTATCTGAAATGGTAGTTGCACAAATTAAAAGTGAATTTAATTTTATATTATTGGATCCTGCCCAGATCAGAGTCTTGAGTATGTATGGTCACACGGTGATCCTATTGGTGCTAGATTTATGTGTTCACTACTGCAACAAACAAATTAACAGTAGTAGTGTTACCCTGATTAGAGAACCTCTTGATGGGATTATTGGTAATGTTGCGGAGTGCACAAAGGTACTGAAGAATGTGCCACAAATTATGAAATCAACTAGATTATTAGGGAAGGCAAGGAGGAGAGAAAAGAAGAACCGCAAACTGAGAGTAGACGATGATATTGATGTTCTCACAGGAAACGACAGTAACTGCATTGAAATTCCTAGTGATGAGGACGATGGCATTCTGGTAATTATTGGACTGCACATATTGTTTCTTATTTATTTGCTTATCACTTCTCATTTTTGTATAATTCCTATTGATGATGGTGATGATGCGCACAGTGAGAAGATCATTAAAAGATCTTGATATGAGCTAGGTAAACTTTGTGAGTGGTTCTAGTAGCCGGAGTAGAACTACCACGGCGAGCTGCGCGAGTGGTGGTCATCAAGCTTGTGTTAAAAAAAGAGAGGAGGGTTTGACATTGACTTGGCACGCAGCCAAACACCTGTCCAACCAAGGATTGATCATGTTTTCAATATGAAAGAGTTCAAAGAAAAACATGGTAGAGCGTGGGCTAAATGCTTTCATGCAAACGCCAGCTTGTCAACAACTTGGCCAGGGGGTGCCATGCCCAACTGGTGAGGAGATGGATGGTCCATATATACTTGCAGGTATATATTCCATGTCATTTGCCTAACTTATGTTTTTGACTTATTTTAATATTCCTTATCATTTGCCTAATATTTGTATACATTGCAGACCAACTATGATGAACTACTAGAGAATCAAGAAGTTTTCAAGAAAGATTAGGATCAGTATGGTGTGAGCCTTATGTGTGATTCTTGGACTGGACGTACAGGTGACAGCATCATCAATTTATGGTATACTACAATGAACAAATGTTTTCCCATAAAACAATCAATGCAACTGGTCAAATTCAGAATTACTCTATGATTGTATTAAAGAGGTTGCCGTTGGCGAAATTGAAGATCATAGAGTTGTGCATATTGTAACGGAGAATGGCTCAAACTATAAGAAAGCATGCTTACAACTCACCAAGGAGTATCCCCACATCATTTGGCAGCCGTGTGCTGCACGCACCATCAACCTCCTGCTCAAGGACATAGTGATGTTTAGATTTGTTGACACAGTTGTTTCTAGTGCCCACAAATCTGCAAGTTATTCTACAATCACAACAGATTGCATGCTGAGATGAAGCGTCATATTGGTGGAGAGCTATACTGTTGGAATGCTACACGGTTTGAAACCGTCTTTGTCTTCCTGCAAAGCTTTTGGGATAGAATGGATAAGTTCCGTCAATGGATGGCATCCGAGGAGTGGAGAAATAATGATGATTGCTTGTCAAATCGCCAGTGGTGGGATAATGTTAAGTATCTGTTGGATACAGTGAGGTCAATCTACTATTTGCTGATTCACAAAAGATTGGGACTATCTCAGGATTCCTACCAAGGGTCATGGCAACTAGGCATCAACTGGAAGCTCACTTGAGTGAGCATCGAGATGTCTTAAAGAATGTTTTGTCTTTGTTGGACAAAAAGGATCGAATATATGAACAACAACACTCTAATGGTTGCAGGTATGATGCTCAACTGCTCATTTTTGCAATCTTTTCTCTATTATAACACATTTTATTTTTTATCTATATTATTTTTTTCCATTATCCTTGTAGCTGGTGTACTTAATCCTGAAGCACACTACAAGTTTGATTTTCATTCTGAGCCAGAGTACTTGAAGGAACTCGCAATTGCAATTGAAAGAATGGCAGATTCACCTGACAGTGCAGTTTGGGCTATTTCTGAATTCCAGTTTTTCAAAGCCAAGCGAGGAATGTTTCTCAGACAATTTTGCCTAATTTTGCCTAATTCTTAACATGGACTGGGTGTTTTGGAGGCTCGAACTTTTGCCAATGGCTGCACTCGTTGGTTAGTACTGTGAACAGTAGTATGTTATATGATCCGGGACAGAAGCTGAGGTTACTCCAGAGAGAATCCATGAGCTAACTTTACTGCCGAATGGCTTTCCTAATGCAGAAGAAAACTTGTTCGCTTAAGAAAGACCTGGAGGGGATGCACAACGAATGATCAATTGCATCTCGTACCATAGATAACACCATCAGACTATCAGAGTAAAGACTGAAACCAGAGTCGAAACATCTCCTGTTCAGACAGATGTGCATCGGCCAGGCCAACGTAGAGAAACAACAATCAAATGTGCTCTGATTGACCCCAGGTATTCAACGAAAATGCATACAACAGAACCTTTACGAACGTTCAGAGTGGCAATCTGCGATTTCACATGGTACATAGTGATCTATAAACAGCTCTGCTTTTTTCTCCCTGTCAATCTACAAGTCTCATCAACACAATGTGCGTGTTTATGCTGTTCAATGTAGGCAACATGTTACATGTATAGATGATACAATTTCGAGAACTGTTCTGATGGATCGGTCCCAATTCAATCTGTCAGGTGATCTTCTTCTGCTTGAGCTCTCTGCTCTCCTTCAGAGCAGCCTCCATCTTCTTGTCTACGTTCTTGCAGAACCCAGGGTAAGGTTCATAGCCGAACAGCTTGTTCAGTATCTGCGCAGCACAAATCAGCAAGAACTGAATACAACTAGAACTCCATGATAAATCCTAGTTCCATGCTTTTTTTTTTCTTTAGCTCCATGTATGCGAGTACTGAAGAATCAGACATGTTTCTGCTCATGTTTACCTGCAGGAAGATGAGGAATGGCTCCATCAAGAACACCTCAGGAAGGTCGCTCACGGTCGGCCCCTTCTTCTGCAAAATCGAATCAAGCAGGAAATCAAATCAGGAATGGAGAGGCGCAGATCAGATTGCCAGGAGCTTCACGATGGGAACGGGGAAGAAGGAAGGTGAAAGGGATCGAGTTGAATCCGCGCTTGCCTCGAAGAGGCCGTGGCCGAGGAACTGCCATGTCCAGCAGAAGAGCTGCGTGGCGAGCACGACCCTCCACGAGCGCGCGAACCCGAGGCGCTCGGCGAGGGCGCGGCTGGCAGCCCAGGCGCCGAGGAAGAGGAGCCCCGCGAGCGCGCCCGCGCGGCGGTCGACGGCGACGTAGGCGGCGGCGTAGGCGAGGACGAGCGCGAGTGCCGGGTCCAGCGGCGACGGCAGCGGCAGGAAGTGGAGGATGAGGAGGTTGGTGAAGAGGATGGGCCAGGACAGCAGCGCGTGCGCCGCCGCGTTCACCGGGTGCCGGTGCTGCGACCGGAAGAAGGCGAACTGCGCCTCCAGGTCCAGCACCCCTCGCCGCCGCGGCTCCTGCTCCTTGGCCTCCACCATGGGCGCAGCGCCGAGGTTCCGAGAAATCTGGGATCAGGGTCCAGAGGTTGAGGAATGGACTGCTGGAGACTGGAAAGCTTTTTTAATTGTTTGAACCGAATTGGAGTGCGCTGCCTTTATATAATGAAAACTTTGTATGGTCTTCTTCATGTCACATAAAAGAAATTCAGACTCCAATCAGAGTCTGATAGAATTTTAGCAGCATCTGATAAACCCAGCTAATAATTTCTAATTTGTACTTGTATATTCATATTCAAGATGAAATTATGCTAGTAGAATTGAGAATTAGGCGAGCAAACCATGTGCAGGGAGCAAAGCAGATATAACAAATAAAGTGTTCTTTCCAAAAGAAACAAGGAATATTCGGCAAGAAAAAGAAAAGAGCATATGAAGCATTTTTTGCCTTGTGTGGATTTTTTTTTAATGTTACTATTCATGTGAATGTTTCCCCTGCATGTGAACACAAGAATGTGTAAACTATGTGATGTCATTGTCAGCTAAATTTATTACACTTAAAACTATTAGAGAGTAGAGATTGAATACGAAAGAAGGTGATGCGTAGCATCAGCCCATTAATGTGATGCAATCATAAAACCATGCATGGTGAGCAAACTGGAAAAATCAGATAATCATGCATGGAGTAGTACGTTTTCGAAAAGAAATGAGGAAAACAATTGTTTGCCAATGAAACATTTGCCTCAGAAAAATGTGCTCCACTACATGTGAACACAAAAATGAGTACACCATGTGACATCGTTGTCGGTCTAACTTATTGCACTTAAAACTAACTCTAGAGTAGAGATTGAATACCAAAAGAAGATGATGTGTTGCATCAGGCCCATTAATGTGACGTGATTATGCATAGCACACCGTTGTGAATTGTGATGTTCATCTTTTGCGCGAGTGTACGCACGTACTACTGATTTTGGTTAGCTCTATCTATGCATTAAGTATACGTCATCATCAGTTTAGTTCTCCGGCGTGCCATCAGTACCAATGAATCAACAGGGATTCACTACATAAAAGAAAGAGAACCAGCAAGGGATTCATGGATCTGGATGTCGATTGCTGGGTTAATTCATCTACCGAGCGTTCTGATTTAGCTTTTGCCCGCCAACAGAACGGAAAACCCAGTTCTGTTTGATGGGTCCAGTGTGAACACGAATAGTGGATGCTTCCTCTTGTTCACACCTCATTTGTTGGGCAGAAAACGACGGATGGACCAGCCTACGTAATGCAGACAGCCATTAGAAATGGGAATTACTCCAGACGGTGTTTAATACTAATAAAAAACCTTATCAACTGTAAGTAAGGCCAAATCAGAATTAACAACGTCCTTGGCATGAATTTTGGAAGAAAAAAAATAACGTTCACAGAGAATTAGAAAACACGGTTAAAAAAATCATTGGCCCATGCAGGTCTCGAACCGCTGCGACCTTCGCGTTATTAGCACGACGCTCTAACCAACTGAGCTAATAGGCCTCATTGATAAGATGAATTATCTAAAGATAATTATCGTTACATCCCGCGGCAAGATGGAACGAAGCAGCCCGCGACACGGTGTTGATGTGCGAGCAGGACAACAAGCTCGGCCCGCCAAGAGTAGCGGTGAGGCACACGCGAGATCGGCGGTGAGTCGCGGCGAGGTAGCTCGTGGCGAGCTCCAGACGCGCGCGGCGACGAGTCCCGCCCTTTGGTGAGCACTGGGGGCGGCGACGAGCTCTAGCCTGTGCGTTAGCTCCGAGCGAGGAAATGATGAACTCTGCGTGGAGAGCCCCGGATGCGGCGACGAGATCCAACCAATCTGTGCGTGAGTTCCGGGCGCTGTGAGCCCCTGAACGCAAACGACGTACGGGCTCCAGGACCCGGAGAGTTCTTGGACGACGTGCGATGTCCGGGCGCGACGGCGAGCTCCATCCGGTTGTCGACCGGTACCGCCGTGTGCACGAAGCTGCCGGCGTTAATCTTCAAGACAGCCTTCATTCATGTGGACCGACGACGACGACGCGGTCACCGCCGACGCGACATCACGTACCGCAGCGAAATGGCTTTGCTGAATAGATGGCGACATGGCGTGCAACCTCCTCGAACTCGAAAGCGTCCGAGCTCGCCTCGACATCGGGACTCCGCCTCGTCAAGCTACTTTTCGTGTGCCAGCGCACGGTGCACATCAGGCCGCCTGACCCTTCCTGCCTTCCAGGTTCATGCCCGCGCACAGAGCTCGCTGTTTGGTTCTGTTGTGCTTTTCTCTGTTCTTGCTCAGCCCGCAAGCATGCTGGAAGCAAGTTCGATCTCGAGCCTCGACAACGTTGCATGCGCTGGATCCCGACCATCAGAAAATCAATTCGGGAAGCCAATCGTAAGATTGTCTAATGAGAACATTGATTCAAGCTCAATCCCAACATCTCCTCCATGATTCGACGCCTCCTCTCTTACGCACTAACTTCCAATTTGCAATAATCTAACCCGGCTCTGATGGAATAAAGCAGACTGCCCACCTCCAGGAAGTCCCAAGTCCCAACCGAGGAGATGGAGAAAGAACATCGTCGATTCCTAACAGGGACCATTCTCCACACATGGTGGAATATATGGATAGAATGAAACCGGAGTATTTTGGAGGGGCGCGGCTATGCAAGACTCCATGTTGCACACCTTGCTAAGGAGGAAATTGACATGTACTACAAGATCGCAACAAGGAAATCAGGAGAAATGTTGCAAACAGGTACAGAGACCAATGAAGCCCATCAACTCCTTAACGTAGCATGATTTGGTTCCTTTCGTTCTCTAGTCATCCTCCTCCGGTCGTTTTAATTTTCTCTCGCGTTCTCGACCAATGAATTGGCTACCCATGGAACTTTATCCTTCTGATTTTTCCACAGCAAGTTAGAAAATGCTAACATGCTGAACTTGTAAGACTTTATTCTGCTTATTATTAATGCAAATGCAGAGTAAAAAACAATTAGCAGTAATCTGATTTACTTAGTGGGGGCTTGATTTATTCGTTGGGCTCATATTTGTGCGTTGGGCCTTTTGATTGTATGGTTATGTTTCGATCTTTGCTTCGATTCTTCGTATTGGTGCTGAATTTAGCTGCTCCGAAGGCAGTGAACACTACAAGATTTGTAAGAATCCCCAACAGTTTTTCTACAAATGGGTGACAATTTTTAGTGTATTTGTTAAGTAGATATGAAAACTGTAGGGAATGAGTTTGTAGGGAAATTGCTTAAACTGTTGGGAAATATAAAAATTTGTACTACAAAACTGTAGGCCATTCAATAAAATATACTACACAATATAAACTGTCGGCCACATCTCACACCACTGTCGGGGGAGTATCTTGTAGTGGAAGAAGGCGTTCTAGAGCATAGGCCTGCGCTGCACAACATTGATGCTTACATGATGTACATATTTGAGATACGTAAAGGGATCTTATGCAAAAGTGCTAGTTCCGGGCATCTTTTTACAAGGGCAGTGCTACGGTAGTCCCTCCTTCCAACTCTTGCACCCTAGGGTGCAAGAGTAAAATTCAATCCGAGCCCTTGATTATCTGGAATAAGAAGTAAATAAAAAATAGAAAATAAATGCAGGCAGCCCTCCTGTTATGGTAACAATGCCACGTTGGTATAGAAAACTTTCCAATCCGCAATATTCCTTCACGGGAAATCAGCTCGTCCATTTTTGTTAGATCTGTTACGCCTTTTGTTGCCTAACAAAAGTTACACTACATATCAAATATTTCCATAACGTATAAAATCCACACTTTTTTCTAAAATCCGGTCCTATTTTCTCTCCCACAAAATCGCCAGCAGGTAACAAGTCCACACGTGTGCACCTTTTTTGTGTGAAATCTGACAACCTCCATGCACATACGTTTGTTCTTGTTAATTATACGTGCCAGTCTCTTCTACCTGATCCATGCATCGATGCACACATATGCATGCCTCGATGCATCGCGCACACATATTCCCATTATGATCCGAGGTGTCACATTTATTTTTTATATTTACTCAAGACACATACAAGAAATAAAACATGTCAAAAAGACCTCTTCTGATATGTTGTCTTATATTTCAAAATGGAACTCATCACTTTATCTTACATGCATTATCTTGACACGATATAATCTTGAATGTCAATGAATTTTTACTTGACACGTTCCTTTTTTTTCTCACGTCAATTAATCAGCAAACCAATCTGGATCAAATATCCCTTACGTGATTTTGTTTCTTAAAATAACATTACTTTCCACAACAGAAAATAGGAAATAATAAAAGTAGTAATGGGCGAAGTCTTGCACCGTAAGGTGCAAGAGTTCATCGTATGCCTCGAGATTTACTCAAATGGACGGTCCATAGTTATTTGGGACTACCGTAGCGGGAGCCTTTTACAAATGTGCATGGAACCGGTGAGGGAGGGAACGTCGGTGGATTATCCAAAGGCTGATACTCTAATCAATTTTGCAAACTGTTCCGACCGATTGGTGCCAATTCAACCAATCAGGTGATTTTCTTCTGCTTGAGCTCCCTGCTCTCCTTTAGATCGGCCTCCATCTTCCTGTCCACGTTCTTGCAGAACCCAGGGTAAGGTTCATAGCCGAACAATTTGTTCAGTATCTGTGTGCAGCACAAATCAGCAAGAATTGAATACAACTCCAAGACAAATCTTAATGGAAAACTCTATACGTACGAACTCTATGCGTACGATGCTACTACGAAGGGAATATCCCAAACCACCGGCTGCAGATAATCACCTAATTTTTGCCCAGCACAATATGATTATTCCAGTACGAAGGGAATATGCTTGATTCAGTTTCGTATGGTGTTCTTAGGTGTTTTCTTCGTACGTTTAGCAGCGCCCAATCTTAATTCCATGCACTTTTGTTTTTATGTAGTTCCATGTATGCAGAAGTCTGAAGAATATTAGACATGTTTCTGCTCATATTCACCTGCAGGAAGACGAGGAATGGCTCCATCAAGAACACCTCAGGAATTTCGCTCACTCTCGGTACCTCCTTCTGCAAAATTGAATCAAGCAAAAAATCAAATCAGGAATGGAAAGGCGCGGGCAGATTAGATCGCCAGAGCTTGACGATGGAATCGGGTAAGTAGGAAGGAGAAGGGAATTCGAGTCCGCGCTTGCCTCGAAGAAGAAGTGGCCGAGGAACTGCCATGGCCAGCAGAATAGCTGCGTGGCGAGGACGACCCTCCACAAGCGTGCAAACCCGAGGTGCTCGACGAGGGCGCGGCTGGCGGCCCAGGCGCCGACGAAGAGGAGCGCCGCAAGCGAGCCCGCGCGGTGGTCGACGGCGACGTAGGTGGCGGCGTAGGCGAGAGCGAGAGCGAGCGCCGGGTCCAGCGGCGACGGCAGCGGCAGGAAGTGGAGGATGAGGAGGTTGGTGAAGATGAGGGGCCAGGACAGCAGCGCGTGCGCCGCCACGGTCACCGGGTGCCGGTGCCGCGACTGGAAGAAGGCGAACTGCGCCTCCAGGTCCAGCACCCCGCGCCGCGGCTGCTTCTCCTTGTCCTCCACCATGGACGCAGCTCCGAGGCTCCGAGAAATCTGGGATCAGGGTCAGAGGTTGAAGGATGGACTGCTGGAGGCTGCAAGGTTTGTTTGAACCTAATCGGAGTGAGCTGCCTTTATATAATAAAAAATTTTGGTTGGCATCATCTTCTTCATTGGACATAAATGAAACTTTCCAATCAGAGCATCTCGTAGTAGCATCTGGTTGTATTGTATACTCATGTTCAATATGAAATTTGGAAAGTATCGATGGAGCACATGCTCATTTGCCCCCTGGTGCATGCATGACACCTGTAAAGGCGGTCGATTTACGAAATTGTGGAAATTACCATGCTTACCGATTATCTTGTTTACTTTTCTTAACAAGCCTAGGATCGTAGGCATTACTTTTTATTCTAGGGCTACACTATTCACAGGTCCTCCCAGCAATGATGTCTCCTGACATTTTATCGTTTTATGTTTTAGTGGCCGATTTAGTGGTAGCACTACATATCCACTGCCTCATACTGATATGTCTACATAGTTATATCTCTTCCTCCCGGCGTTAGTCGCGTAAGGTTTTTTTTTTTTTTTTTGTCTTTGTGCAGCGATAATGCAGCCCCAAGATAAGGCACGTTGCAGATGAGGCATGCACTATTCACACAACCATCATGCACTAGCACACCTGTGCATCTGACATACTTTCGTCGTGTGTAGCGCACGCGGGAATATTTTGACACAACTTGTTGTAGTGGACGATGTAGTGCTAGCACTACAACCCCTTCCAGGTACGTATATATAGTTCGTTTTGTCTTCAGAGCTATATCTCTTCATCTAAGACTGATCTTGCAGGAACCTGAGACGCATCGACAATGCAGCATGAAAACAAGGTAAGTTTTGTTTCACGTTCGACTCAACACAGCCTCGTTCATTATGAAGGATACAGTTGATTTTGTACATTTTATACTGATCTTGTACAT